TCTACATGTCTTGTCCAGTTTCTTGAGATGGCTAGTTTCTATAGGATTCGGGTCGGTTTACATATGTCGAGGCCATTTTCTAGGAATTATGGTTAGTTTCCACTGGTAGAGGCTATATGCTAAAGCTAGTTTCTACATGTAGAGGCTATATGCTAAAGCTAGTTTCTACATGTAGAGGCTATATGTTAAAGCTAGTTTCTAAATGTAGAGGCTATATGCTAAAGCTAGTTTTTACATGAAGAGGCTATATGCTAAAGCTAGTTTCTACATGTAGAGGCTATATGCTAAAGCTAGTTTCTACATGTAGAGGCTATATGCTAAAGCTAGTTTTTACATGTAGAGGCTATATGCTGAAGCTAGATTCTACACGTTGAGGCTGAATTCTGCATGGGAATGCTTGTTCCTGTATGTTGATGTCAGTTTCTTCATGTGGAGGCTACTTTCTTCATACTGGGGGTCATCTTAATACGTCAAGGCTAAATTGTATCTGACGAAGCCGTTGTCTTGAGGCTGGTGTCTGTATGTTGAGGCTTATTCTTAACTTATTTCACTGGTCCATTCATATAAATTTTCCCTTTTACGCCCAATGACATCTATTTCAGCAAATAATTGAGACTGATTATTTTCTGTCCTTGACGTTTTATATTTACATCCTGGGTCTAGTTTGTAATGCCGAGGCTTCGGAACAGTGTAAATCTGTATCTGTATAGATACATAGGTGAATAACAGGGTCTGAACCCAGCACACTCAAAGCATCAGCAATAAACTACACCAACTGGCCACAATACAATAATCCATATGTCACCCAACCTGACCTGCCAATACCCATTCGGCTCTAAGGACAAGGATACAGTACTTGGCACTAACCTAGAATCTCCACGAACAGCTACACCTCATGTATTCAACATTGGAGTGTATAGAATATACTACTCCTTGCTGAATCTTCCAGCTGAGATAATTTAACAGACGAAGGTTATACATACAATTCTAGTTCCTGAAAGAACATGTTGGATCCAATCAAGTTTGCCTCGATTGTAAAGCCTGAGAATGAAGCAATACAGTTAGCTAGATAGTTCGTATTTCCAAAAACTAGATCGTGTATACTGAGGCTAGTTTCTTTGATGCTGAGTCTAGTTCCTTCACACTGGGACCAGATTGCACAGATTGCTAAACTTCTTCACGCCTTGATTATACAGACTCATGTTTATTGAGGTTATTTCTATATACCGAGGCTAGTTTCTCTATGTTGAGTCTATATTATAAGTGCCGAGACGAATGGCTTGAGACAAAGTCTAGTTTTCACATGCTGGGCTAATTTTGTCAGACGGGTGCTAAGGATATAAGAATATAGTTACTCGTCGAGGCTCATTTCTACAGACTGTGGCTATAGTAGTATCAACGTGTTTGAGGAAGATTATATATATGCTGAGATTATTTTTTATATGCTGATGTTAGTTTCTGTTTGCCGAGGCTAATTTCTATATGACAAGGCACGTTTCTTGAGACCGAGGCTAGTTAATTGCTATAAGAGATTCGTTTCTTTAATTTGTGCTTAGGCTAGTTTATGCTGCAGGTAATAACTGCATGCTAGGGAGAGGTTCTATATGCTAGCGATCCTGGCACGGTGAGGTGACACACCTGTCCACAGACCGCCTTGGACCACCGGACCACCCACGCACACACACACTGAGTAAAGTCATATTGTTTAAAGACCGCCTCCAGTCCAGTGGTAGGGCGTCCGCCACGAGAGCGGAAGGTCCGGGGTTCGATCCCCGGCCGCGTCATACCAAAGTACGTTAAAAGATTTGTTGTTACGCTATCTGGTACTCGGCATTAAGGGGCTAAAATAAGGACTGGTCGGTTCGGAGTCAGTATAGAGTGTCTGAGTGGGACATTCAGTATGGCCTCGAACAAGCTTCACGTGCGAAAATAATCGCAAGATTGAGGACTTTCTCCTACTTAAAACAAGGTCGATCAAGTTAATGCCTCAAACTAATCTTCAAGTGATATTCACTATACTATGCTATACTATGGGAGGGTGACCGCTCTTGTTTAACTATGAGAGGGGAACCTTTCAATGAAACCTATGGGACGATTTAGTACCCATACTAAATCACACACACACACACACACACACACACACACACACACACACACACACACACACACACACACACACACACATGCATGCATGTATTTTATATACCTGCAATAATCTTGGACGCGACGTTAAACACCATTTGACCTATCCTCATATTGTTTAAAGACTAGCTGCGAATTGATGTATAACATAACAGAAAAGCGAATACAGTGCCCATCGATGAGTATCAATATCACCAAAGGGATTGTCAGCATCGTAATGCAATATTTGGTGAGACACACTTCACAGTTTTCTTAATTAATGGCGACATATTTTTGTATTGCCTTAGGTTTTTTTATGATATATAATCTGATCGTTGTCAACACTGTTGACCTTTTAAATCCCGCAATTCTAGACACTACAAACATCAAAGTTCTGCCGCAAACAGCAGACCGGTAACATGTTGTCTGATGGCGCACCTGTCCCCTTTAGCAATATAGCATCAGCTATATTCTACATGTTAATTTTACCACGTGGTGTTCGGTTCACATTTAGGTTTGAAGCTGACAACCATGACATATGATCATAGGCATTGTGTAAATTAGTTTGAGACGCCATGCTTCCGACACATTTCATTGAAAAAGACCCTATATTCACCAAAGTATTTTGTCTCATTAACAATTTTATCACTTCGGCTGAGCGTCTCCATTCTTTATGGCGTAAAGTTCCCTGTACGCCTGACGTCTCATGACTTACCTTTCACAGGCTTCCCGCCACAACTTCTAGAGAGGGTTCTTAAGCGGTTCCACCTGTAGCGGACAGATTGAGCGAACGTGGAGGACTATTAACTCTCATTAAAGGAACACGCATATTGTTAGCTGGCTATGCACAAAGGTAGAGTTTATTGAAATACGCTGTAAGACGAGGGTTATTAGCTTTGAATTAAGGGCCAGCGTGAAGCCGGCAATTATACACCCTTTAAAACCCTTGTTCAAAATAATAAATACGTTTTCCATCGTGCGCCATTTATAGAGGATAATGATGTAATGAATGGTGCTTCTTTCGTAGGTGAGAAAAATGTGCCAAGTGAACGGGAGATGTGTGGATCTCACTGCTGTCCCTCTCGCAGCAGTTGGGGCGGGGTTGTTCTTGGCGGGTTTGGGGCATAATTCAGATTACCGGATTAAGTTTTGACAGATTAACCACTTCTGACGTGAGATTAAAAGGAATTTAAAGAAAATTTTAATTTACATTTGGGTATGACTGATTCAGAAAAAACAACAAATCATGTTATCACGGCTATTCTGACGTTTCTTACTGACGTGTGAATAACGGGTGTTTTAGCGAACGGGGGTGACGAACGCTGAACTAGAGCAATCCAGAGTCAATGGCATATTCTCTGTTGCAGGGATCCTCTGTTAGCGAGCGGTGTATGTCTACATACATACTTTAACAGTAACATATATTCTTTTGAAATATCACTTATACTTTAGCAAAGATTATGAATGTGGAAAGGGTTTTGTCGCTTTATTTACATTATAACGCAAACATTAGTTTTCTGTTTTGCAATAGAGTTGAGAATTTACAGAAACACGAGGAAATTGTACAAAATTCCGTCGCATTTTCTGCTGGAACTTAACAAATAAGGTAAAAGACTTTTACGTTTAAGTGTAGTTTACAAAAGGATATATCAGATTTATTTTCCTCACGCAACACACATTTAATTGTGAATGAAATTTGAGAACAAACTCGATGGATGGGTATATGATGCGGGCAAGTGGACGAGTTGACCCCATCGACTCTATGTCTTACGCTATATCTCACCATATGACAGAGATACGGATATGATTGAGTCAATAAATGTGGTGTAACGCCGCTTTGAACAGTATTTCAGCTATATAACGACAGAAAGGATAGGACTGCCCAAAATAACGCAGGCGGAGGACATCTACCACTTTCGTGAAATCTACGCGCACGAGCAAAGCGCTGACACCACGGGGTTCATAATTGGGGAAGAAATCTTGGATTTGAATCCACGGCCATAGGGTCATAATATACTATATATACTACGTTTATAACGAACACGCTTATAACGAACTGACGAATATAACGAACTTATTTTTGGTCCCGTTCAATTGCTGTATATATGATGTGTATATGCTTATAACGAACTACGGTTATAACGAACACAAATAAGTGGTCCCTTTGTGTTCGTTGTAACCGTACTTTACCGTATAACACTTTTCTTGTCGAAAAAAGAGTCGAGGCTGGCGTTATATATAAAAACCTGTGGTTTCGCATGTTTTAGTTATAATCAGTTGGTAAGATATATCTTTTCAAAACGGAAACAAACGCCTATGTCGCACATAGTATGGTACCGATTTTCACAACGGTGTGTGAAAAGGACACGACTTGTAATGTGTAATACCCCTGTACTGCACATGATTATGTTTTAGACCATTACTGTCTATGAATATTTTACACGATGTCTCTATTATTTTCTAAAGCTGATTTCATATTACAGTAGACTACGTTTATAACGAACACGCTTATAACGAACTGACCGACATAACGAACTTATTTTTAGTCCTGGACATTTGTTGTATATATGCTGTATATATGCTTATAACGAACTACGGTTATAACGAACTAAAAGTAGTGGTCCCTTTGAGTTCGTTATAACCGTAGTTTACTGTATACATTATCTAGATGTTTTTTGATCACATTAAAATATTACTAATGTAGGTATTCCACAGTTATGGTGCTGGACTAACCTATTTCTAAAAACCATGATTAACTAAAAGGTTAGAACGCAGTTAAAAGCGTTACATCCATGTCGTCGGAAAAGCATATGAAACTGAGAACATATGAATATAAAGATAAACGAAAACAAGAAGAGCATCTTTAAATATTTATATAACAATTTACAACAAGCACCCATTTCAAGAATATACAAAACCATGAGCATCTTCCATTGACAGATTTTGGTACTTATTTCCTAACAGACAAATCATTTGTACAGATTTCGTTTCTTCAGTGAAGTTTCCTGTTTGTTATTGGGAGCTGCACGTGCTGCACGTGTGCCATCCACATATCCTGTACGTGCATCACAGAAGCAACACGTGCCATATTAAACGTAAATAGAGTCGTTGATTGATATTTAAGATGTAACAAAAACTGCTTCAATAAGGTTTTCATTTCACATATTCATTCATAAACATAAAATCAACTACTTACAGAAACGAAGGCAGATTCTGAACACAAATGGTTTTTTATACAAAAATAAATATAATGAGTATATCCAGCACATTAAGGGGGTCAAATGTTCAACAAGTCTTCATTCACACGAAACAAACTTCGGCACTTCAATAGTCACTTGCATTCCGCAATAGTTCTATCCAGCATACAAAAAAGTTCAATCACTTATTCCTTAGGTTATGAATCGTCGTCTTTGTCCAAGAGGTCTTGCAAGGCTTGAATGTAGGTCTGAGCCATCTGTAGGGTCTCATACTTCGACAACTGTCTGTCATCCCCAATAGAAGGCACCACAGTTCTGAGTTTATCAAACGCAACATTGAGACTCTCCATCCTCTTCCTTTCCCTTGCATTAGCAGCAAGTCTCCGTCTCTTCTGAATGTCCTTCGTGATAGGTTTAGGCAGCCGTTGCCTCCTCCTCACTGGAACAGAGAACTTCTCACCACTTGGTCCATCTACCGTGTCCCTTGTATAGGTGGCCTGTGGGTGACCCGGGTGGTCGGGGAAGGTAAAATGCGTATGGCTACTCTCTAAGGGTGTCAACGGCGTGCAAGGGGTGCAGTCACTGTCTGAATAAGGAATGTCGAAGGTCGACCTGGAATTGATCTCAAATTCTGAAAAATCAGGAGCTAAATTGAACATAGAGGCTGTAGGTAAACCTGGTATAGTCATGAGGTCCACAGACCTTCGTTCCTTCAGGGTAAGCATCTCTCCCTCCATCATGACTACCCTAACAAACACGACACGTGCTGAATGACTAAGGCGCGTGCGAATAGCACCCTGTTTCTTCAAGCCACGTGGCGGAACTGTATTGACCCTTGTGACGAGAATACTCTAGAGCTGAAAAAAAACGTTGTGCATTTAATGAGGCTAAATCCTTCAACTACCGCCTTCTAACAAGGAGATGCGAACCAACAGCCAATGACTGAATCGTAACTGCTTCTTCATTCTCTGGCACTTATAGAAATCATTTGGACAATACCTATGCGCAGTAAAACGGACGTTGAATGGGCCCGCCCCTAATCGGGGTGAGTGACAGGTGATCGCGTGCCATGAGGCTCTGTCGCGAGCTTGACGTCAGGACACGCGTACCTGCACGCTTCGTTGGTACAGACTTGTGCCTGAGAGGCGGGATTGAGAACGGGTGGGTGAGACGGGAACTTGTCTTAAGCGGTCGGATAGCGCATCGGTCGCATTACTACAGATAATGATTCAAATATTATTTGGAGCATAACCATTTTGAAACGAAATATCAAGCAATGACGTACATCTCTATATTTGCAAATACAATGAGGATTCTTGAGTGTTAAGTATGACATCACAAGAAATTGATTGTCTTTGCCAATATGTTCATGAACATATTAGTATAGCCAGTCAAGTATTATCTACTATGTTAAATTATATTTGGTTATGACACACATTTTTGCGCAGCGTGGGTTAAATCTTAAATAAAAACAAACCAAATACCGAAATTCAGAAAAATATATTGAAACGTGTTCTTTTTGCGAATTTGAATCAGTCGTACAAACGGTAGATAGAAATAAGCAGGTGACAGTTTTCTGGTAGTTTAGAAACTATTTGTTCATATTGATGAAATATGAGCGATGTGGTGGTACCATGTGACGGCCTTGTCAAACTTTAACCGTTAATCTTTGGATTAGACAAATAAAACGGACAAAACGATTTCCATAAACATTAGAAATGTCTGCTAAAATCAGAATCCGTTGTATGATTCCGACTATATCATAGGCATGTGTTTAAGAATCACTATCAATTAGTGATGATGTCTGAGCGTATCCTGAAACCCACCGGTGAAAAGGAAACCAATAAATAATCGCTCCCTTTACGGACGTTCCCTTACTTCTTTCCATCAGTATATAACTCAAGTTCATTAAGTTCATTGCTAAACACGACGCTAGCTGGAAACGTGCGCGTATGGTCACCTTGCTTCAAACTGAGGTGAAACTGATACAGGAACCACTTGAGCAACTCCTGATTGGTCTGAAGCAATCCATTATTTACATTTAGTGTTTCGCGTTTAGGTGACGCTTTGCACAGAATTTTTACATCTGACAGTGTATAACCATCTGTTGTTACCTCTGTGGCGTCCATACCTGAAGAATCCTTTTTTTTAAATTTTGCAAAAAATATCAACAGGTGACATGAAACAGACATTTGCAACTGCATAGTTCTAAGTAGAATACTGACACAAAAGAGAATTGATGTTTTATTGAAAAACGTAACTGATCTGCATTATACGAATTTTAAAACACTCCCAATCCATCCAGGATATTCAACGTCGGATGAAAAACGCACAACCCTGATTTTAAAGAATATAGTTAACTCACTGCTTATCTTCAGTTTCAAGAAAATGCTAATATTTTGCCTCAATGTTTTTTATTCTGATCCTGCCGTTATCAAGGCCATGAATTCGTGTCTGTGCAAAAATGTCACATTAAAATTTCTTCCTTGGACTAAAATTAATCCTAGTTAACAAAACGCTATTAAACAAACTTGTAAGCTACCATATGTTGTCCTGATAGAGAAACACTGTTTTGTACAAATACAAGTTCCTGAACACTCCGTTTGATCAGCGATTCGTTTCTTACTTACTATAATTGTTATTTGTGATACACATCTAACGACCCACTCCTTACAATTAAATTGTTCAGACACAAAGACATCCGTATACAGAGACTGCCCATATTGTATAAATATATAAATGGGGATCCTTTCTGAGGAAAAGAGTGGGTGATACGGGTTAGTGTTATAAAATATATATCAGAATGTTTCATGGTTGCACTGGTATACCTAAGTAGTGTCATCGATGTTAATTGCGTTACTTCAATTGATTATTACCTATATGTTCAACTTATGACCTGGTACGTTTTTATTTTATATATGTGTGAAATGATTTCATACGTATATGATATTTTTCATTTACAGCTTTGGATTATAACATTAGGTAAAAAGAAATAGAGTTCCTAGCAGTATGACGAAGCTTTAAATTTTATTTTCACGCAACCGAATTACATATCTAATTTATGTATGACCCTTTGCACTGATTAATATATAGGTGATGCCTGTGCCATTAGTGTACACCTGTATTCTTATTTGATTATAGGAATGTATTTATTTTATACCTTGAAACGAGTCCCAATAAAACGAAACAAGTCAAGATAAGTTTGTCAAATTGATATATACTAGTTGTTACTCATGTCACGATGTTATGTTGAAAGTTATGAAAGTTGAAGTGGAGCACATTTGTTTATAGAATCTGGTTTGACAGATAACGAGACTGAAACATTATTCGCTGACGTTTTATATTTACTTCACGATATGCATCTGTATACCTCACATTAGTTTTGCGGAACACGTATTTAACTTGAGTAGGTATGTTCACACAACAAATGTATATATATATACCTTGATAACAAAAGTTGGTATTTTAAAACACCTGTTCAAAACAAAATTGTCTTTCTCAAAAAGGAATCCTGTGTAAAACAATATGTATCTTGTTATGTTAAGAAATTATATTTTTCCTCAAAATAGTTAATATTAGCTGAAATTAATATATAATCCTGTAAATAAAATGATCACTATATTGACATTATTTTATAATAAAAAAGCTTTGAGGGTAATGTAAGTATAAAGTGTATAAAATAATTTGTCTCTTTGCACTTATCGGGGCTGAGGACTCTTTCGGTTTTATTAATGAAAATTAAACTCGGAAGCCTTACTGGGATTCTCGTGGGATCGGCGCCCTATATTAACCAGAATCCATTCAAGCGGATATAGGAATGAGAGATTTAACAATCCGTGGCCTAAACACGTCAATAGAAGCAGTCATCCTGTTCTAACTGCCCTAGGCTCTCGCACGGCCCAGTGACTCTGCTATTGGTCAGGGAGGAACTTACAGGAATAGAGAGAGATCACGCTTTATCTTTGCAGTATTATTTCTACAACTGTAATGAAATGACATTGCACGCGATATTAGGGTGTGTCTCTAGCTTTTGTTAGAATGTTATCATTCCATATCGAAAACACTGGGAAATGAACATTATAGTAAGTAATACTAGCGGATAATAATTGGTTTGAAATAGACGCGGATGTCACAGGCAAAAATGACAATGGATGTTTAAATGCACAACAGCGGTTCAGGTTTATATTCATACACCTTAAGGGTTTTAAAAATAATTATTTCACCCACGTACATGAGTTAATCGCGTGGTCTGAAGAATAAAACGGGTGGTGAGGAATTTTTTAATAAACGAATTCATAACTGTTGATGGCCTGACAGCAGTAACGAAAAAGAAATGGATTTAATTTTCTTCTTAAAATTTCTGTTAAAATAGTTTCCGCTTAATCGGAGGATATAATCATAATGTGTGTATGTGCTTTTAAGTATGAAGTAATTTCAGTTTGCATCAGATGCCCTCTTTTCTTCTGCAAGCGTACATAGTTCCATTGACAGGGTATAAGCTGGGTTTCTTCACATCTGCACTTGTCCGTTGTCTGTCGCATACAAGGAGATGTTCATTATCCTACTCGCTCAATGGTTATCTGGGGGAGCGTGTCGTGGTTGTCTTCTTACGTATACTTAGCAATGCCTAGTTTCGTTTCAGAAGCCTTAAAGCACAACCTCAATAGGACTGTAACCCACTTACATTGCTGGCATGTCGGATCTTGGATTTTCACATGTCTGTTTATTAATTAAATATATATTGCTGGCATGTTGGGTCTTTGTTCTTCACATGTCTATTTATTACTTAGATATATATTGCTGTCATGTTGGGTCTTTGATCTTCACATGTCTATTTACTAATTAAATAATTATATATTGCTGGCATGTTGGGTCTTTGATCCTCACCTGGATGTTTATTAATGGAATACGTATTGCTGGCATCTCGGATCTTCACATGCCTTTTTATTAAATAGATATGTATTGCGTCAAGAATCTTCACATACAAAGATAGTCATTAATTAAATGTACATTTCTTTCATATCGGATGTAGATCTACATATGCATATTTACGCATTAGAATATATTGCGTGCATTACCAATCGTGGATGTTGACAGGCCTAATGCATGTTTCGACAAGCGTTTTTCGCAGTATCCGTTTTACAGAATAATACCGTGTCTTTTGTTTTATTTATATATTCATTTGGTATTGCCAATCCATATAGATATTCTTCACGCCAGAACATTATTTACAGTATTTGTAAAGGAAACTATAAATCGTGTCTATACATGTCGTATATTCGAAATATTAGTATAATTTTATTCATTACTCGTGCATCTTATCCAAAACTATGTTTAGACGCGTTTTCTAGTAAGATTATAGGTTCGAATTAAGAAAACGATAAATTGTGAACGAAAACAATTTTCTTGAGTAAATGTTATTTCCCCCAAATCTATTAATATTAGCCTGAGGGTAGCCACACACACTTTGGTGAAAATATCAACTTTTCCACTTAAGAGGAATTGCAATCGGTTCCATATGTTGTTTTTGTTATCTACGATAATTGATATATATTTAAGGTTTAAAGTAGTTGCAAAACAAGAAGGTCTTTCTGGCGTCTGTAAAGAAAATATCAGCTGTTAAGAACGCCAGGGCGTCACAGTTCCCATGCACTCACGCCTGCCTTCCGCACTATGGCCTGTAATAACACCATCGAGTGTTTTCCACAAGCCTCTTTTAACGTTAACACTGTACATGTATTCTTAAGGGTAGGGACATCGTGTTCACATGTTGTCAGATCCTTGCTTCTGAGGTACCTTTATCAAGGATGTGTTAAGAAAATTAACGAAGACAGTTGTCAAAAGAAGACCACAGCCCAGGGCAAGACTAAAGGTCATTGCCTACCAGGGAGC